TACTGCTGAGTCCTTTCCCTTCTTCTCAGGCCTCTCCTGCACCCGAGTCAGCTGCCTTTCCTGCCATGCTCCCATCTCCAAGGGAAGAACCAAATGCTGGGAAGCCCAGTCATCAGTCGGCCTCATTCCCACCCAGGCAGATCCACCCACAGCCACTGAGCAAAGCTGCGGCCCCTCAGACTAGCCTCCAGGTCCATCCCTCCTCTGCCAGGCACTCAGCAGCTTGTACCAGAAGGACCCATCCTCACCCTCCAAAGGACAGATCTCAGCCCTGTCCACTGACGGCTTTGCTCCCCCAGGCCACGCTGAAAGCCTTGCACACACCATTTCATTTAATCTGCTCAGCAACTTCCCATTTAACAGATGGGAAAAACAGATTCCCATCTGAATCTGCCAGGTGGCAGAGCAAGGATTCAGAACCAAATTTGCCTGACCAGGGTCTCATGTTCTCCCTTTTTCATTCTATAAACCCACTGGTGAAGCCCAAAAGACTCCTTTTTTAAAATTTAATTAATTTAATTTAATTTTAGAGATAAAGGGCTCGTTTTGTAGCCCAAGCTGGTCTTAAACTCCTGGGCTGAAGCAGTCCTTCCACCTTGACCTCCCAAAGTGTTGGGATTACAGGTATAAGTCACCACTCACAGTCCCAAAGGGCCCCTTTTGTGTCTGTGTTTAAATGCATAAAATAAAATACAGAGAATTACAAAGGAAACTACTTTATTAAAATATGTACTTCTTTATTAATGGTTTAAACAACAAGACTTAGCAACAGATTTAAACGTTGCCAGAATGTTGAAAATTGTTGATGTGTAGTTGTAATATGATGTGAAAATATCATGTGAAAACTATTGGTGAAAGAATATCAGATACTGTGGTTTGTGGCCTACATTCATAATCAAAGGAAATGCTACATTTCAGTTAGTGCTTAGTAGAAATAATATGTACTTTTTTTTCATCCAAGTTTATGAACCCTTGAATTCTATCTACAGACTGTGGGTGTAAGGATCCAGGCAGAAATGCCTGGTCTGTTAAGATCCGTGCTCTAGGGCCAAGGCCTTCAGTAAGATCTGGCTCTGGCTCTGATATGGGCTGTCAAGTCCATGAGAGGAGGGAAGCCCTCCTATCCCAAGGCCTTGGGATTCTACTTCTCTGGAGAAGTTGGAGGCTGCCAGGAAAGTAAGTCCCAGTATGTAACACTAGCAAGCCCCTCTGAAATAGGGCGGACTCTTTTACCTGGATCTCACAGTGCACTGGGGTGATGCTGGGAGCCCCTTCCAGTGGCAAGCACTTGGCTTGTGTGATACACAGTTCTTTCACTGCATATATATTTAGTAAGAACCCTACTTTGTGCCAGGTATTGGCAAGACCCCGTGGAGTCCATAGGCTGGTGGAAAGACAGCCAAGAAGTGGGCCTGGCGTGGCCGGTGGGCCCAGTGTTGGGGCACATGAGCTTAGTCGTCTTTGATCCAGGGGCTGAGTGAGGTGGCAGTACTGGAGTCGGGTTTCTCACACACTTCCCTTGAGGCCCCAGCCTGGAGAAGTCCAGACCATGCCCAGCAGATGTTCAGCTAAAAAGGAGGAGAGAGGACATGGCAGCCTCCCTCTTTTGTGTTACCACTGAGATTGGAAAGGGACAGTTAATCTGGAGGGGACTGAGAGATGGGGCCAGGGAAAGCAAGCCGTGCAAACAGAAGTCTACAGAGGAGAAGAAAGAGCACTTAGTTCTGCACCACCCTCTAAAAAGTGAGAGCGCTCACTCATAGACCCTCTCCCCACTGTCCGTCTGAAGTGGCCAGGAAGGGAAGACTACAATATCCCAGACCCTTTAAATAGCATCTTGTTCTCTGAACCTTGGTTTTGCCGCTAATTTCTGCAATCTGGCCTTGGCCCTGGCCCCAGCCATGACTGTTGCTGTTTCTCCCACACCAGCCCTCTGGACCCTGAAGTTAGCACAGCCCTCCCTGAAGTTGTCATCCAGAAGTTAATATATAAGTCAGTTAGTGCACAGACATTACTAAAACAGCAGCAACAGAGAATTGTAAAATAATTAAGGCGGTCTTTCAGGGTGGCAGCCCCTGAAAGGGTCCCCCATTCCACAGTCTGGCCCCTAAGCTGTGCAGGACAGAAGTTCAATTTGATCTCTGCTATGAGAGCCGAACTCATGACAACCACACCCCTAAGAGGTTCCTGTTAGTTGACCAGAATATCCACTCCTTCCTAGATAGTAGGATCACAGGATGACGGAAAGTTAGTTAGTGAACATGGAATCAGACAAAATAGGCTTGAGGGATTTTTCATCGACCAAGCACATGGATGCACTGTTCCCAGAGCCCATCTCTTGGGCCCACCAGGCAGACCAGGCTATCCCCCTTCCTTGGTAAGCCTTTCCCAGCTCTGGTCATACCACTGATTTGGCTCCAGCTTTTTTTGCAGTAGTCAGGCCTAAATTCAGTTTCAGATCCCTATCATTCCTCCTGGAGGAGACGTCTGACTCCAAGGCCTCTGAATGTGCTGCTGGAGATGCCCCTTGACAGAGGATGCCCTAACACAGGCACCCAGTCCTGCTCACAGTGCCCACGTGACCCTATGGGTGACTAATTGGTGTCATGCCAGAAAGAGCAATTTAAGAAACATACTTTAAAAGAATCCTTGCCTGAGACAGTCTCTTACTGAAAACAGATTCCAGCCTAGTTAACAGGTGAGCTGTGGCACTAATTTGCCTGCCTGAAAGTGCTTATTAGATCATTAAAACAGCAGTGAGTGTGAGGCAGTGTTATCCAGCAGAAGAGCAGGAACCAAAAGGACATGACTGAATGAATTGCTTCAGGGTATTTTAGGGAGTGACTTAATTTCTTTGAGTCTATCAAATGAGCACAGCTATGCTGGCTTCTGGTGTCTTAGGAGTCAGAGACCATGCAAGGATAGAGCCCTGGATCCAGCAGATTCTCCATACATGAGAGCTGCTGTTGCTGCTGTGGAATTTAAAATTTTCATTTTCTAGACAGCCCACTTTGAATGGGACTTTTGTGAACTGTCTTAATTCTTGTTTCCCAGCAGCTGTGACAAGTCCAGCAGTGTCTGTTTTAGCTTCTCCAGTCCATTTCTGTTCACAGAAAGCAAGCCATCTAGCATTATCTCAATAGGAAGTATTTGTTTAGGTTTCAGTTTTCTACATTAACTTGTAGTGGTTGAACTAAATGAATATTTTAAATTCTAAGAAATTGTTTTCTGCAGTTAAGAGACTATTGAGAGTTTAAAAAGCCTGGCTTTTTAAAAAGTGGCTCACACCTGTAATCCAGCACTATGGGAAGCTAAGGCAAGAAGATCGCATGAGGCCAGGAGTTCAAGACTAGCCTGAGCAACATAGCAAGACCCCATCACAACAGAAATAAAAGATAAAAATAAATACTGGGCACGGTGGCATATGCCTGCAGTCCTAGCTAAGCTACTCAGAAGGTTAACTCAGGAGGTTGAGGCAGGAGGATTGCTTAGGCCCATCAGTTTGAGGCATAGTAAGCTATGATTTTGCCACTGCACTCCAGCCTGGGTGACAGAGCAAGACCTCATCTCAAAAAAATAAATAAGTAAATAAAATTTAAAAATTTTTTAAAAGAAACATAATTCTGCAGTTTAAAATTTGGGACACATGTCCTGTGGAAATAATGTTATTCAGGTGGCTGGTGTCCCAGACTGCCCACTGGTTTCAGGCTCGAACTCTACAGTTGGGCTTTAGTGCATATGAATCACCCAGGGATCTTGTTAAAATGCTGAAACGAATTCAGTTGGGGGCAAAAGGGACTGGGAGTTGACATTTCTAACAGCTCCTGGGTGATGCCCACACTGCCCATCCAGGACCAGTTTGTGTAGCAAGGATGGAGCGGGAGAAGCTGGCATTACTTAGGGATGAGAACAGTGGGTGAGGCGTTGTCCTAGACAGGGCAGAGGGAGCAGGGGTTCTAGTGAGGCGAAGGAACAGGACTGGAAGGATTGGAGGAAATGGGGAGAGGGCTCCTGACTGGTGTAACTCCCCAGGCACTTCCTGGCCATCGTCTCTCCTGGCCCTGGTGTTTGCCAGGCTGCCCTCTCCGCCCTGCCCCCTAACCTACCTGGGGTCCCTAAACTCTCCTACCCAGCTATGGAATCTGGCCTTCCCTTTGTTCTCAGAGCAAGCACACTCTGCAGAAAGGCTCTTCTTTCTTATTTTCTTTGTATATAATTTTTTACCCAAACAAAGGTAAGACAGTCTCTTCTAAATGAAGTGCATTTCTAGTAAACAGCCTGGGAGTCCTAGGTCTGACTTCTCGTGCCCCCTCTGTTTGTACTTACATCCTCTGAGGAAATGCTAAGGAGCACAGAGATAGGGATGGCTGGTCTTTGAGTGCTCCAAACGTAAGGTTGACCCCCACACGTCCACCCCGATTTACCTGCTGCTCCCCGCTTTCCACCTTACATTCTCCGTGTCCTCTCCCTGGAGGACTAGGAACTTTGAGGGCAGGACTAGGAGTAGATTCATCTTCATATTCCTGCAGTACACACACAGACTTGGGCGAATGTCAGGAAGAATGGGAGGAGTAAGCCAGAGGGGTGGGAGAGCAAGAAAGGATTGTCATGGAAATTAGCGAGCAGGAGAAGCCACTTGAAGTGAATTTGTTTTCAGTCAAACTTGGCCAGGATATATCCACATCCAAGCAGTTGTGTGAGACTTTCCTGCTTAACCAGGCCCACCTGGATCGGTCATGGCCTGCTGTGGTGGGTGGGGGAATGGAGCCAAGTAAGGCACTGGATGTGGCCTCCACTCTCTCCGAGCACCTCGGCTTGGAAGCCCCCCTGCCGGGATCCTTCCAGAACAGTAACGTTTTAGCAGTGAGGTGTAAAGATAAGCCCATCTCTTTTAAGAGTTGAGCTAGGTGGAGCTGTCACTTTGGTGGGAAAGTGAAGGCAGATTAGGACAGTATTACTAAGATTACATGTAATACATGATCGCATTCTTGTTTTTCCAGATTTATCAGCAAGACTGTTGAACGCATAACTGCCCAAGATGCCCGTCCCTCCCCCTCCAGCACCCCCGCCGCCCCCGACGTTTGCACTGGTGAGTGTCTCCTCACTTTCTATGCAATCACTTTCTATGCATAAAGCAAGCCAAATGAAGCCAAAACCTGGCACGCATGTGTTTGTATTAAATGTGTTTGCATTCTGGCTTACATGTGATACAACAGGCTTTCCTTGTGCCCAGAGTAAGCCAAAGCCTGAAACCCAGCAAATACAAACAACACGAAGGGTTTTGTTTGTTTAAGGTCTCATGTGATGGATAGTACAAGGGTGGAATGTGGCTGATTAGGTGTTTTCTGCCGCATCTGTGCAGGGAAATGTGCTGGCCCGAGATAGGGTTTGCAGGAGCAGTTCTGAGTGTGCACTGTTCTCATTCAGATGAACTCAATGTCTGGCCTTTAACTTCTGGGCTGGACAGTCTAGAAACCCAGGTCTCTGCCTGCAGTGCATTCCATTAAAGTGTCTTCCAGTCTCACTCCTTTCTTTTTTTCTGCCTTTTGCCCTCTTTTTCCCAATCTGTTTTTGACAAATATCTCGCCCCACCACCTCTCCCACACACATTCACATCCTCCTTTAAATCTATACTTGCATTTAGGCATTTAGATGTTTATTTCCCGAAAGAATTTCTTCACTGGATTAATCCTGGTCTTTCTTTTTTTTTTTTTTTTCTTGAGTCTCGCTCTTTCACCCAGGCTGGAGTGCAGTGGCATGATCTCAGCTCACCGCAACCTCCGCCTCCCATTCAAGTGATTCTCCTGCCTCAGCTTCCCAAGTAGCTGGGACTACAGGCACACACCACCATGCCCAGCCAATTTTTGTATTTTTAGTGTAGATGGGGTTTCACCATGTTGGCCAGGCTTGTCTTGAACTCCTGACTTCAGTTGATCCGCCTACCTCAGCCTCCCAAAGTGCTGGGATTACAGGTGTGAGCCACTGTGCCTGGCTCATCCTGCTCCTTTGATAAACCTCTTTGGGGAAGTTAGTGTGCCCTCTTCCAGGAATTTGGCAACCCTCCACTTGGTCATATGGAAAGGCCCCAAGATAAACTCTGTTACAAAGCCCTCTCCAGCTTGTAAAGCCTTCACTGAGGAGGAGCCTCACACTGATGGTTCCTTCATTTTCACCATTTTTCACATGGGGAAACTGAGGCTTGGAGAGAAAGTTTCTTGCCCCAGGTTTCCATGAGACGCATTTATATAACTCATTTGAGGATGATACCTAGTGAGAAGAACTGCCCATTAATTAGCTTATTGTTACTCAGAGTGTGGCCTTCCAACTACTTTTTAAGAGTCCCCAAAGTGATGCGGACAAAAATTGAAAGTAAGCATTTAGAAGCATTTCTAGCAATTTGACAGTAGTTTTCTGTCTAAGATTGGATGTTGTGTGTCTTTTTTAAAAAACTAATTCGTTTTTCTAATAATTCATTGTTATTTTATAAAAGTGTCAGTTGCTGATGAAAATATTTTTCAAAAGACTGGTCCTCGGCCAGGCGTGCACTGTGGAAGGATAACTTGAGCCCAGGAGTTCGAAACCAGCCTGGGCAACATGGCAAGGCCCCCATATCTACAAAAAAAATTTTTTTAATTAGCCAGCCAGACATGGTGGTGCATGCTTGTAGTCCCAGCTACTCTGGAGGCAGAGATGGGAGGATTGTTTGAGCCCAGGAGGTCAAGACTACAGTGAGCTGTCATGGCACTACTGCACTCCAGCCTGGGTGATAGAGCAAGACTGTGTCTCAAAAACAAAACAAAACAAAAACAAAACGCTGGTCCTTCACATGGATAAGTTTGAGAACTTCTAATCTGGCTAACATAGCAGGATTCATTTATCCATATTTCCCAAAAGTATGGGTTATAGTGAACTGACTTAATAAAAAATATTAAATAAATAACACAGGTGGTATGAGAAGATGACAAAAATCATGAATCTTATACCAGAATGCTTGAAGTTTGGAAAACCTTGTTTATCTTATCAACTCATTTCTATCTGGTATTACCTAATTCAAAGCAAGACTGTGGATAAATAGAATATAGAGATGAAGAAAGGGAAAAGGTGGGTTGGTGGCCATCATAGACCACTGCCTTTGTGAAACAACATAATTAAGGGCCCTGAACACGAGAGAAGTTAGCACCCAGGGAGGTCAGCTGTCAAAATAAATTTTAAGGCAGAACAGGAGGCTACTGAAGGTTGCTAACCCAAAACTGTTAAGAGATCCACTGTGACACATCACTTAACCTCTCTAGGCCTCAGAGTTTTTTCATCCTTAAAATGAAGACAGCAGGTAATGTTAAGAGCTCTTTCCAGGACATCCAAAGTATGTTAAGTTGAAAACAAACAAGTTTCAGAACAATAGAGGAGAATCCCATTAGCAAAAGCAAACTGTGTTTGCAGAGAGCATTTCTGGAAGGACAGCAGAGAAACTTTTGACAGGCTTGCTTCAGCGGTATGTTGGGGCTGATGGGGATGAGCATTTTGGAGCCCATATTTACCCTTCTGTCAGCTTGTAGGGAAGGCTCTTGACTGCCAGGGTTTGAATCCCAGCTCCTCCTCAACTAACTAGGTGACCGGGGCAAATGATTTAAACTCCCTGTTCTTCAGTTTCCTTGTCTGTAAAATTGAAATAACTCACAGGGTTGATAAGGGCTAAATGAAGTAATACACATAAGGTGCTGAAAACAGTGCCTGGCACAGAGTAAAAGCTATATATGTTAACGATTATTATCATAAGCAAGTAATACTTTATCATTTAGTTATTTCAAGATGCTTCCAACTTTACCGTATTTTACAGTAATTCTGTTTACACAGTATAATTCCAATTACACAGTAAGTCTGGTTAGCCTACTTCAGGGTTTTTCTGAGTTCTTCCTTTGCCTCTAACTCTGCTAATAAAAGGCTGAGTTAGGCCAGGAGCAGTAGCACGTGCCTGTAATCCCAACTACTCAGGAGGCTGAGGCAGGAGGATCACTTGAGCCCAAGAGTTTGAGGCTGTAGTGCATGATGATCACACCTGTGAATAGCCACTGCACTCCAGCCTAGGCAACATAATGAGATTCTGTTTCTTAAAAAAAAAAATTGTTTTTTAAAGGCTGGGTAAGGTACTGAGCCATACATTTCCCCAGCTTTTCCTCCTGTGGCCCTAACTGGCAAATCTGAAATCATATCCCCATCAGAAGGGCTGGGGCCAGCCTAGAAAGGACCTGTGGGTTTGGGGCAGCCAGACTCTCCCTGGGACAGACAAGACCTAGCCAGTTTCCAAATGTGAAAGACACAGGCACACAGGCAGGTGCCTACATCTAAGTCCTTTTGCTGGACACTCCCTGAAGGAGCAAGATCCCAATTTCATAGTAGGTGGGGATCTTTCATAAGAATTCTGGAAATACAAGAAAATAATCAAACATGTTAAAGTAGCACTTTTATCCATTCTGCAATTTCCATGAGCTAAGCTTTCATCAGAATTAAACATCAGAAACACCTCATGCCAACGGGACATGAGGGAACTTTTGAAGTAATGAAAATATTCTATATCTTGATTGTGATGGTGGTTTCACAACTGTATATATTTGTCAAAACTCACAGAACTGTAACTAAAAAGGGTAATTTCACTATATGTAAATTACACCTTAATAAATCTGACTTAAAAGGAAAATAAGCATCTTTGGCAATATACACAGTGGGAATTATTTTCTAGAACTTTAGTGGGTTTAAAAAACATACAGCTGACTCTTTTTGCTAGAGACGGTTTTTCCCTTGCATTGGGTTAGTTCTAAAAGATGGGAAAAGGAAGTTATTCTTCAGGGTAACGTCTAGTGAATGAAGCCTGGTAATGTCCTGCAGAACCCTCCCAGACTTAAACTTCTTTTCTCTTGTCTAGTCATCTCACTCTAACCTGGCCCTGTTAGTTTCAGTCAGATTGTGGTCTGAATTTTCAGAGACTTTAATCAAGGACTGGCTCTTCCTCCCTTAAAAATAAACATAATTTATTGCTGCATCTGCTTCCAAACGTCTGGATCTTAAAAAGAATGATATGGGTTCTAAAACTTGTTGAGAATTTACAACCTGTCACCAAGAACCTTAATAACAAGCTTCCCGTACCCAACCTTTCCCAGCCAAGTGTTACAATACATGATTTTAACCCAAGAGATGACTACTTGTTTGTATGGCTTCCTTTCAGGCCAATACAGAGAAGCCTACCTTGAATAAGACAGAGCAGGCTGGGAGAAATGCTCTCCTTTCTGATATCAGCAAAGGGAAGAAACTAAAGAAGACAGTCACCAATGACAGAAGTGCACCAATATTGGACAGTAAGTAAAAAAAGCTATTTTCCATGAAGAGGAACAGTTTACGGCCTAATAATCAACCCTACCCTCACCCCTCAATTTTTTTTTTTTTTTCGGTTAACAACAGCTGCAAAGCTAGCAAAATAAGGGACTGTATCACTCCCTGTAGGCCGCAGCTTTGGCTTGGGTTCCCCTTTAATACTGCAAGAAGCCAGTATAATAATTCTTTGTCCAAGACATACACAGCAGCAATTCTCTGCATTATTCACAACACTTTCTGGAGATTAACCCATTGCTCCTGGCACCGCAGATGAGGAGGCAGCATAAAATATGGAAAGAGCCCTAGCCTTGGAATCAAAAGCTGTGGGTTCAAGACCTGCCACATCCATCCTGTCCCATCTCCAAGCCTTGTTGTCTTCATTTTAAAGTGGAGATGATAATACATGTTCTATTGACCTCACAAGTTTGTCATGAGCTTCAAATGAGATAATGCCTGTAAAATGTTTTGTTGTCTGGAAAATGTAATTCAAGTGTAAGATACAATTATTAGGAGCTTAGACAGAAAGGAAATGAGGTCACAACTTCACTTATCTACCCACCTAAGTCTGAGGTACTTTCTGGAACAAGGCTACTTATTAACATTTACAACAAGACAAAAAATAATCCATGACTAGAATTCTACTGGCAATTAATAAGTAGATCTTAAGGCTGTCTCCTCACATTTCTAGACCCTTCCTTTGCCTGCCAGATGTCCCCAAGATTCATCCTAGACTACAGATCCCATTTGGACGCAACAGGAAATAGACTGACCTTCCAAAATCACCAGATGGAGCTTTGTCAACAAGTGAATAATGAGGCAGAATATTTGCAAAGTAGAGGATTAGAAGTGCTTCAGGGAACTTTCTGGGAGAAATGCCTAATGAGTAGAGAAGGAAGAAGAAGGATCAGAGTTAGGTGGACTACTGGTTTGGGAGGAAAAAGGAAAAGTGAAAGACCTAGATAAGGCCTTTGAATGTTGTTCTGTTACTGGGCAAAGTGGTGTGAGTGAGAATGCACTGCTTTCAAAAAGGAACTATGGCCGGGCGCAGTGGCTCACACCTGTAATTCCAGCACTTTTAGAGGCTGAGGCAGGTGGATCACTTGAGGCCAGGAGTTCAAGACCAGCCTGGACAACATGGTAAAAACCTGTCTCTACAAAAAATACAAAAATTAGCCGGGTTTGGTGGCACATGCCTGTAGTCCCAGCTACTTGGGAGGCTGAGACACAAGAATCACTTGAACCCAGGAGGTGGAGGTTACAGTGAGCTGAGATTGTGCCACTGCACTCCAGCCTGGACAACAGAGCAAGACTCTGTCTCCAAAAAAAAAAAAAAAAAAAAGGATCTAAGGTATTTAACTCTTGACACAGTCTGACTTGTAAGTCAAAATGCCCACAAAAAGAATGTGGTTATAATATAATCCCTCTAATCAGCCCTCCAATAGCCATCTGAATCATGGTCCCTGGTATGAGGCCAGAGGAGCTGCTGGCTTCTAAGACAGAGGCCTGTGGTTCTCCTCACTACAAGAGGGAGCCTAGGGCTCTGTTGAAGGAGACTGGACAGTCTAGACCTATTCCTGAATCCACTAATGGAAACTTTGAAAAATCGTATTCTCCAATGTTCACTTCTCTCATTTAATGGAAATAGTGTTAGTCCTTCTCTCTTCCATGATGTTTAATAATGTGCTTTCCTTGATGGAAGGAAGATACAGTCCAGTGCAGGCCCTTGTTCATGCACGTAACTGGACACCTATACTGCTGTCACAAGCTCTTTGCAAGCAACAGATTTATCCATGGTTTTGTATCTGTTTGCATGTGAAACTTCCCTGGGCTGTGTGTCAAAATGTTCACCGTGGTTATGTGTGATAGCTCCCAAACTCAGCCTGTCCTACAGTTTAATTACTGAAAAAATAATCTAGAAGCAGTTAACTATCCTCAGCTTTAGCTTCTCTTTCTGTAAGATGGACAGATGTTGCAGGTTAAGAACACTAATGAGCCGGGAGCAGTGGCTCACACCTGTAATCCCAGCACTCTGGTAGACCGAGGCAAGCCAATCACCTGAGGCTGGGAGTTCAAGACCAGCCTGACCAACATGGAGAAACCCCATCTCTATTAAAAATACAAAATTAGCCGGGCGTGGTGGCACATGACTGTAATCCCAGCTATTTGGAAGGCTGAGGCGGAGAATCGCTTGCACCCAGGAGGCAGAGGTTGTGGTGAGCCAAGATCGTGCCATAGTACTCCAGCCTGGGCGACAAGAGCGAAACTCCATCTCAAAAAAAAACCAAAAAAAACAAAAAAAACAGTAATGGATGATGTCTGATACTGCAGGAGTCCCTCTAAAGTTTCAATACCATGTAAATATGTCCTGTGAAGTTCAGTATTCCAAAATGTGTCATTCATCAATGAATAGTGTTTGAATGACAAGGGCAATGTTAATATTATTACCAAAATTTTAAAATTTTATATGGAAACAATTTTGCATACACTTCTAGAAGTTGTTAGTCTTATATGTTTTATCCTGTTAGGTGAAGTAATTCTTGTCAGTTATTATCAGATTATTTCTTCCATAGCAGAGCTACCATAAGCATCCCAGAAAGCGCTGCATCTAGAAAAGATACAGAGCTAACACAAATTTATGATAAACCTAATCCAGAAAAAAAGGAAATAAAAATGAATAAAAGTGGAACTCAGAAAGCAGATAAAATAAGAGATTCAAAGCATATTTTCTAAAATTAAAGTAGTACAATAAAGTTATCTGCTAAAATGTTTTAAGATATTAAAGAAAGTACTTTTCTAAGAAAACATACATTTATTCAAGAAACCTCATTGAGCAAGGGAAAAGATAAAAACTTTATTAAATTACTTTCTCTCCAAAAAGCTTTGGAGCCAGATTGTTTTAATAGCAAATTCTTTCAGATTTTAAGAAAAGCTAATCCAAATGCTGTATAAATCATTCCCCAACATGTTAGAGATGGAAAGCTATCTAATAATTATAATGAAATTGGCATGATCCTAATGTCAAAACTTGACAAAGACAGTACATACAAAAAAGAGAGCTGTACATTAGTGGTTTTCAACTGAGGGTGATTTTTGCATTCCAGGGGATATGTGGCAATGTCTGAAGACATTTTTAGTCATTACTTTGGGGGTCAGGGAGGGCTGCTACTGACATCTAGTGGGTAGACGCCAGGGATGCTGTAAACATTCTGTAAAGAACAGGACAGGACAGCCACCCACAAAAAAGAATTATCTGACCCAAAATGTTTATAATTAAGAAACCCTATTATGGACCACTTACCATCATAGATAAGAGAACACTAAAATACCAAAAAACAAATCTAAATCAATCAGATGTTACAAGAACAATTCACCAACACCAGGGTTTATCCGCCTTTTTTTTTTTTCGGAGACAGAGTCTTGTCTTGTCACCCAGGCTGGAGTAACGGTATGAACACAGCTCACTGCATCCTTGACCTCCCATGCTGAAGGGATCCTCCTACCTCAGCCTCCTAACTAGCTGGGACCACAGGCATGCACCACCACATCTGGCTCATTTTTTGTAGAGATGGAAATCTCACCATATTGCTCAGGCTGGTCCTGAACTCGAGCTCAAGCAATCTACCCACCTTGGCCTCCCAAAGTGTTGGGATTACAGGCGTGAGCCATTGCACCCGGCCTATCCCATTTTAATGTTAGAAAGTCATCATATCAAATAAAGTCATCATATCAAACTAAAAAGACCATAAAAAGTCTCAGTAGATCTTGAATAGGCATTTGATAAAATTTCATGCTATAAGAAATTCTTGTAAACCTAAAATAGAAGGATCCATCAACTGAATATTTAGAAAGGGACAAAACCTATTTCAAACCAGTAATTCATATTAACTTTGAAACATCAGAAGGATTCTCATTAATATCAGAACATGATTGCCTTTAGAAATGTTAATAATTTACATTGTTATGGAAATTTACCCATCAAAGTAATTACTTATATAAAACAGAAATAAGACATACAATTCTTAGAGAAGAGGAGGCTTTAAACCATCATTATTTGAAGACCACATGCATACTAGAAAATGCAAGTTAATAAATTTTTAGTAAATTTTAATTTAGAAAATATAGCAAAGTGGCTTATTAGATATTAAATACAATTTGCTGGTGCCAAAAATAACCAATTACAAAATATAACAGGAAAAACATCCCTTTCACAATTTCAGCAAACAAAAATACATGTGAAGTAACCCCAACAAAAAGCATGTGTAATGTAAATCATGAAAACTATAAAACTTTGCCAAAAAATCCAGAAGACATGAATAAATGAGGAAATATACCACATCTCCAAATGGAAAGTCTAAATATCGTAAAAGTATCAGTTCTCCCAGATTAGTTTGTAGATTTCATATACTATTTATCAAAGACTCAACATAGTTTTTTGGGAAGAGGACTTTAAATAATGTTTAAGCTCTTAAATACAAACATGCATATATACATAAATTAAGAGATAATTTTTTTAAAGAAGGTATAAGCATGGCTTAAACACAACTAATTTGCACTTCTTTGGACAAATACCATTGCATTAGTATCAGTTTTCTATACCTTTCAGAGTGATAAAATCCTGTGGCTTAAAGACAATGGAAAGCAACCCGGAAAACTAGATGGAATACTCAGTAATCTTTCTGTTTGTTTATTTGCCTCCCATCAAAATCTTTCACAATTTTTTGCAGATAAATTCAAAATAAAACAAGAACTTTATACCCTCTCAAATTGCAAAGAATGTTTAAATTACTAAAGCCTACAATTGGGCTTCATGATACTAAAAAATTAATAGCAATCTAAAAGGCCATCAAATGAGTAGTTAAATAAATTTTAATGTAATACATTCATGTTCTGCAATACAATACAATCCTTTAAACTCATGTTTTCAAAGAGTATGACACAAGAAGTGCTAACAAAGTGTTAAGTGAAAAAAGCAGGCTTAATACTGCATAGTGAATTTGTTCTTAATTTTAAGAAAAAACACATAAAATGAAAAATACTGCCAGGAAAAAGTATAACTCAATAATGGATATTTGCTTAGTGTTTTTTGTTTGTTTATTTGCTGGAGTGCAGTGGTGCAGTCATAGTTCACTGCAGCCTCGGTGGGTTCAAGTGATCCTCACACCTCAGCCTCTTAAGTAGCTGGGACTACAGGTGTGCACCACCATGCCTGGCGACATTTTTGTTGTTGTTGTTTATTTTCATAGAGATGAGGTCTCACTTTATTGCCCAGGGTGGTCTCAAACTCCTGGGGCCCAAGCTGTCCTCCAGTCTCAGCCTCCCAAAGTGCTGGTATTATAGGTGTGAGCCACTGTGCCCAGCCTGGATATTTGTATATTTGTGAAATTATGAGATATTTTATTTTCTTGTCTTTTTAACTCTTTCTTTTCTTCTCACCTTTTATGGCATCTCCTCCTCCCTTGGGACCCTCTTTCTTTGAAGATCCTTTTTATTGAGACAGGGTCTCACTCTGTTGCCCAGGCTGGAGTACAGTGGCACAGTCTTGGCTCCCTACAGCCTTGACCTCCCTGGCACAAGCAGTCCTCCCACCTCAACCTCCCAAAGTGCTGAGATTACAGGTGTGAGCCACTGCAACCAGCCTGAAGATTTTTCTGTTTGCCAAATCTTAGGATACGGAACAAATAGATATTGACCCATGTGGCAGCCAGTCAAGTGGGGAGTGTGGGAACAAATCATCCTTTATTTTCGTTTCTTCCACCACTGGGCCTGGGACTGCCTGGAGCGGGCAGTTCTGACTCAGCTGAGGGAACTCTTAAAATCTTGCATTTTAATGAAGAAATCCCAGTTGTCCACTGGCGGCTCAGAGCCGGCCAGCTCCCTGTTGTACTGTTGTTTTATGGTTTACCTGGGCCAGACCAGGGGGCATACTCTGGCGGGTGTTTCTTCTTCTGCAGAACCTAAAGGAGCTGGTGCTGGAGGTGGTGGTGGTGGCTTTGGTGGAGGCGGCGGATTTGGCGGAGGAGGTGGTGGCGGAGGCGGTGGAAGTTTTGGAGGGGGCGGACCTCCAGGTCTGGGAGGACTGTTCCAGGCTGGAATGCCGAAGCTGAGATCCACGGCCAACAGGGATAATGGTAAGGAGAGTTTCCCTGTCTCTGAGTAACTGAAGACAAGACAGAGTTTGGCAGTTTGGAGGCTGGTCATAGCCCCTAAGGCTCTTCGCCCTTACTAAAATATTGTACATTGTTTGAAATATTACCACTGTTTTATAAGAGACTCAATTTAGGCTTTATTACTATTATTAACCAGGATCAGACAGCTACACAGAACTATGAAATTTTCACCCAATGTTTTTGGGGGTAACCTGTCCTTTTTTTTTTACTTTTCTAAAGGGTTAGCTGGAGTGGGAAGAAAAGGGAGGAGCAAATAGAACTTGCTGGCCCTGGAAATCTGCCTGGTGACCTGACAGATTCAGCTTTCTTTGTGAGGTAGCCCAGCTGTCTAGTAGAGTAAATACTTGTGAGCTGCTTTTCAAACACGATGGAGCATGTCTTGTGGAATATGATTACAAATCTCACTAAATCTAAAAAAGTGTTTTGCATGACAGACATTTGGTATTTCAGTGCCAGTGGTTCTCAGGAGTCTCTGCAGGAAGCCATGGACATGAGTCCTTCATGATTGTCTATGAACCTGATGGTAGAGAAAAGCTGAACTTGCTCATGAATGCCTAAATAAAAAACTTTGCAGAGGCATGAGGCTCTCTCCCGACTACTACAGAAACTCAAGAAATTTTACCATAAAACTGCTTTTGTAATGTTGATCATGTTACAATAATTTTCTTTTTAAGACCTTTTATAAAATGTCATCTGGGAAGGAATGAAATTCTCACATTTACATGAATATGGAATCACTGAATCCTCAGGGTTAGCCTACTATTTTATCACTGAATGGTCCAAATCTAGAGAGAAACTCAATTACATGAGAGGTTCTATCTTGCCAGACCACCATTTAAATTTGAATTTAAATTTATTTAAAACTCACCAAAAGGATTTAAGGCAGCTGATAAATGTATACGTTTAGTACTTTAACAACAGGTGAAGAAATTAAGGCAAAAGACAAAGAAAAATAAAATAATAAAATGGGCCAGGCATGGTGGCTCGCACCTATAATCCCAGCACTTTGGGAGGTTGAGGCCGGCAGATGGCTGAAGCCCAAAAATTCAAGAACAGCCTGGGGAACATGGCAAAATCCTGTCTCTACTAAAAAACACAAAAAATTAGTGGGCATGGTGGCTCTTGCCTGTAGTCCCAGCTACCCAGGAGGCTGAGGTGGGAGGATTGCCTGAACCCGGGAAGTTGAAGCTGCAGTGAGCCATGATTGCACCACTGCACTCCAGCCTGGGCAACAGAGGAGACCCTGTCTCAAAAAAAAAAAAAAAGAAAGAAAAAGTTCTCTCTTAAGTTCATGATACTCCACTGTATACATCTGTCCAAATGTTTTTTTCCTATGCCTTAGACAAAATCGGAACCCCTTCTGTCCTGCAGGGCTCCTTGTGACTCACCCCTGTTGGCCATTCAGGCTCCGCTTTCCATGGATCTCTCCCATTCTCACTCTGCCTGGGGCACACAGGCCCGTTTTTAACCTTAAAACTCTTTCCCACCTCAGGGCCTCTGCACCTGCTGGCCCCCTGCCTGAAGTGCTGGTCTTCCTCATCTTTCCATGGCCGACTCCTTCTTGTCAGGCCTCAGCTCACGTGTCACATTCTCAGAAGAGCTGTCCCTAGCCACTCCATGTACCCTGGCCTCTCCAAGCACTCTTGATCTCATCAGCCTATTTTAGTGTCTTTTTAGTACATATAATTATCTGAAAGTATTTATTTCCTGGTTTATTGTTTATCTCCCCCCCACAAGAATGTAAACTACAGGAATGCAGAATCTTGTCTATTCTGTTTACTCCTCTGTCTCTGGTCTCTAGATTAATGGCAGGTGTATAGCAAGAGCTCAAAATTATTTGGTATGTTTATGAACTCATAATTGAAGGGTAGATTTTTTTTTTCCAGAATTACCTTGATTTCCAAGAGATTCTGGGATGGTGGTTTGAAATTTTCCATCTCTTTGGTTCCCCTTTAGTTTCTCTCTTGTTGAACCACAGCAGTTATAGGATTGTTCTGTCCTGCCAATATTGAAGCAGAGGTTGACATGGTAAGAAAAAAAAAAGCTGTGTAGTTGCCTGCTTCTTTGTAGATGAATTCCATCCACTGGTGTCAACTCTTCCAATTAAACTCTATATGATGGTTTCTTTTTCCTTTCTTAGTTTTTTCTTATTGCAGTCATAACTCTTTCCTTATATTTTTCCCGTTATATTTTTCCACGTTTTCTTGGGCATTTCTCTTCAAAGGTACTAGATAAGCCCTCACATATGGAGATTTACATTGGGATAATTAATTTTTTCACCTAAAACAGCTGACTTATTTTCAAAACTGAGAGGTACAAGGGCTGGGGGACAGAGATGGTGATGGGGAAAAATGAAAATCATGATTCTATCAATGCCATCTTGTTCTTGTCCTCTCATAACGAATAGGCATCTCACCAGAACTCTCCCCCGCTTCATCCTGGCTCTTATCTTACATAATACTTTACATAGATCTTTCCAGACTCCTTTTGAAAGCTGATGGGCTGTAGAACTTGGGACTCGCAGGTAAATAGAGCTACGGTCGATTTTCTGCTCCCAGGAAGGACCACACACACAAAACCCAATTTATGTAAATAATAGTTTCCTGTATTTTATAGCCCTCTGAGGAAGGGACTTCCAGTCACTGGGAACAGACTCTAGCTCTCTGATTTCTTTAGGGTTCCTGATTTCCTAACTGGATGTTTGTTTTCCTGTTTTTCAGATTCTGGAGGAAGCCGACCACCCATGTTGCCACCGGGAGGAAGATCCACATCTGCCAAACCCTTTTCACCCCCAAGTGGCCCAGGGAGGTTTCCTGTGCCTTCTCCAGGCCACAGAAGTGGTCCCCCAGAGCCTCAGAGGAACCGAATGCCGCCCCCAAGGCCCGACCTGGGCTCAAAGCCTGATAGCATTCCCCCTCCAGTACCTAGTACTCCAAGACCCATTCAATCAAGTCTGCACAACCGGGGGTCCCCTCCAGTGCCCGGAGGCCCGAGGCAGCCCGGCCCCGGGCCCACTCCTCCCCCTTTCCCTGGAAACCGCGGCGCTGCTTTGGGAGGAGGCTCAATACGTCAGTCTCCCTTGAGCTCCTCCTCGCCCTTCTCCAACCGGCCTCCCCTGCCGCCTACGCCCAGCAGGGCCTTGGATGACAAACCCCCTCCGCCACCTCCTCCAGTAGGCAACAGGCCCTCCATCCACAGGGAAGCGGTTCCCCCTCCTCCTCCTCAGAACAACAAGCCTCCGGTGCCTTCCACTCCGCGGCCTTCCTCCTCCTCACAGGCCCCACCGCCGCCGCCACCTCCCAGCAGGCCTGGGCCGCCTCCCCTGCCTCCAAGTTCCAGCGGCAATGACGAAACCCCAAGACTCCCACAGCGGAATCTGTCCCTCACTTCGTCCACGCCCCCCTTACCTTCGCCAGGACGTTCAGGTCCTCTTCCTCCCCCGCCCAGCGAGAGACCCCCACCTCCAGTGAGGGACCCGCCAGGCCGATCAGGTATGACAAGACGTGGGGTGAGTCGCTTCCAAAACCCAGCCTGCCCAAATGTACCAATAATGCTGTCAGTCAAGATAGTCTTAACAAGAGCAGGCATAAGTAAACTCTCAGACTGCTTTGTGCTTTTAAGTGGCACGCGACACATGTGATAGGGACCTCGTGTAAATCCCTGAGGAAAGTGGGACCAATATTTCTGTTGGTGTTTTAGCGATGAGGACACTGAGTAGCCAATAAAGTTAAATGGTCACGAGCTAGTTAATAAAGAAGAGGCAAGAACTTTCGTCTTCTATCTCTAAAGTGTACTTGCCAGCCCACTACCCTGCCTCCCTAGAGAGAATTTCAGTGGTCTTACTTGGGAAAATAAGTCCCCACCTCCTGCAGGAGGGCTCCATTATTCCAACAAGAGGGGAAGATTTTCAAGAGCTAATGAACTTCTCCTGTATTTCTCTCTTCATTAGCCAGGCTTTGAGGCCATTTCCCTATTCATTAAAGACAAATGTTTAAAAAGTCCATTTTGCTCTTTGTTAACATCTCTGGTACATAAATCCCTTGGAGAATCAAATAAAGGTATAGACTATCTTTACAAAAATACTCAGGCATAAACTCAAAATCTGCATGCTGTCACATGGCTTGAAGAGCCTGCTGAAGCCCATCTGAGACCTTTCCAATGCGGTTGGAAAGGTTGAGAAACCTTGATCTGAGGGACAAACTTTCAGAGTATGAAAGAAAACGCAAGGATTGCCTAGAGTTTGCCCTCTCTGAATTATAATAGGCATTTTTAGTAGAGTACACTCACTTGATGCGTTTTACAGTGGTTATGGATGAACTTGGTAGAACCACCCACTTTTCAAATTTAATCTCATCGTACAGACCTTATGTCTGGAAATGGGGCATTTTTTTCCTTTACGCAGAGATAAGAGACCTTTGACCCTGTGACCTCAGGAACCTCATAATCACCATTCTTTAAACTTGCTCACATACTAGAATCATCTATGGAGCTTTAAAAACCACGAATGCCTGGGTCCCTTCCCAGAGTGTCTGGTATAATTGGTCTGGGGTGCAGACTGGGAATCGGGATATTTAAAAGCTCCCTGGTGATTATAGTGTGCAGCAGAATGTGAGAACCACACCTTGAAACCACTGTGCCGTGGCCCTACCAAATGGATGAGTCAGCAGATTAAATCTTCCCCAAAATATGACAAGCATTGACATACATTTATTGTTTCTTTTGATTACGTAAGTCATACTTGTTTATTATCGAAATACTGAAAAATATAAAGAAAATTAAAATTATCTGTAATCCTTCTACCACCACCATCCAGAAATAATCATTGATAACATTTTTTTATTGTGTTCTTTCAGTCTTTTTAAAATGCATATGTTTTTACAAACTTGGTATCACACTACATATATTGTTTGCTAATTTGCTTTTTATTTACTAGTATCTCATTAATGTTTAGTGATACGATTATTCTTCTACAGCCTGACTTTTAACAGCTACCTAATATTAAATCCTACAGATGTACCTTGATTTATTTAACCAATCCCCTCACTTGGTCATATGGGCCATCTCTAGATTTTTCCTGGTGCAGATAATGCAGTGATACATTTTTGTAGCAAAATATGTGTACACATCTCTGTATTTCCTTTGGATGAATTCCTGTAAGTGGAATATCTAGGTCAGTGAGTGTGCATAGTAAACTACGGATTTCATAGGTACTGGCAAATTGCCTTCCAGAAATTTCCTACCAATTTACATTCCCACAAGGAGCATATGAGAGTTCATCAAAGGCCCTGTGTATTCTGAGTCATTTGGCTTCAGTGTTACGGGAGTGGGCCTTGGAATCTGACAGATTTGGAGTCAGATCTTGGCTCCTCCACTCAGTCTTCTGATGAGCTTTTTAAGCTTCCAAAACCTCTGAGGCCTTGTCTCCTGTCCCTGTACCTCTCAGAGTTGTAAGAATTAAACGAGACAAGCATGGATAGTGGTTATCTTATTTCCTGGCATGTGGTTATATTCAATAAATGATCATTTCTGTTATTCCACCAGTGGGAAATAGAAATCTGTTTTCTTTTCTATTGTGCCTGTCAGGATTTGGAGCAAGGAGCCATGAGGTTGGAGAGTTAGGAACATGAACAGGACCATTTACTTTAAAAAGAAAAAGAGATGAAGTTATATAGTACAGGGCCCCATAATATTGAAAGTCGAGTTTGCATGTAGTGACAGTTGTGTGGTGGTATCACCAATGAAGTCAAACCCACAGCAAATGAGACACTTTTCCTCAATAAATCAACTCTTGCTGCCTGGGACTCCAGCAATGACAAGCAGATAGGGTAATAAATAACCACTCCCAGGTGAGGCACTGAAGACTCCTTGAGAGACCAATCAGGGCTGGACAGTGCCTCCCACCGCCATAAAATGTTGGAGCCAAGACTTTCTGTCAGGGATATCTGTAGTGGGCAGGTTGTTCAGGTTACGGTTCCTAATTGGATTCTGAATGTAGAGCTAATAAGATATTTATTTATAGCACCGTCAGATATTGTATTCACATAAAATGTCAGCATCTTACAAGTGGAACCCACTGCTGAAGATCAGGAATAATTACTAAGGCCATTTTGATTTACATTGGAAAATGCTCAAGTTTTTAGTTGTTTTTTTAGTTTACTTACTACTCAAATAGCCCCTGCATTTAGAGGATAGGAAAAGCAAGATGGTTTTCTTTTGTATTATCAAAAATAATTTACTTTGAATTTTTCTTTAGAAACTTAAAAACTTATGGTTATACCATACTGCTACATTTTTAAAAAATGGTTTCAAGTACTTACATAGTATTTTTTATTTGCATTTTCACTAGTTTTTCCTGGCAGCAGTACTGTGAGACAGGTGACCATGTGGCACTCTTTTACAACTAGGAAACCAAGTTCCATAGGGTACCAGCTTGCTCAAGGTCAAGATTCACATTAGCATTTATAGCCATGGATGTTGATTAGCTGTTTGTCACTCCCTGTGTTCATCTGCCTCCCCAAAGAGGAAGAACCAAGAAGAAACTCCTACTGCTCTCAAGATGACTGGTATTTGGTTTCCTGATGCCACTTCTGCCTGGAAACAGATCATACGCATGACAGAAACGTGCTTCTGTAATTAACAACAAAACTGCATTTAAAGAACCTCATTCTTCTCAAGACCTAAAATAATTTCATAACTATCTTATTCTTTTTTAAAAAATTATTTCATCATGTCACAGTAATTAGTTCAATAGCTCTTTAAAGGATTGTAAAATTTTTTTTAATTATATGGTTTTCAGTATAAACAGATTTTCACCTGTTTTCAGTTTCACTGTGCCATCTCCAATCTCAGTACTAATTCAAAGCCAAAACACCCATTTAGCTATCAGTATGCACTTGTTTTGCATATACATGTGTACACATGCATTTTTTGTGTTTTTGTGTGTTTACTCATTTCTCAGCCAAATGCCCTAGAAAATCTCCACCCTAATTAAAGGGCATGTGTCCAGCAGGTCCCCATCAGCTGTACACTAATGGTGACTATGGTGATGGAATATGGATATAAGGTTCTGCACTACGTGTCTTTTTTTGCTCCAGGCCCCCTCCCACCACCTCCTCCAATAAGCAGAAACGGCAGCACGTCTCGGGCCCTGCCTGCCACCCCTCAGTTGCCGTCCAGGAGTGGAGTAGACAGTCCAAGGAGTGGACCCAGGCCTCCCCTTCCTCCTGACAGGCCCAGTGCTGGGGCACCTCCCCCACCTCCACCATCAACATCTATTAGAAATGGCTTCCAAGACTCTCCATGTGAAGGTGAGGTGTGGTCCGACTCCCTGGGCTATAGGGCAGCAACTAAATGGTAAATCTGTTTGTATATGTGGTTTGCTTGTTGCGTTTAATTTCTTGTTCCATCATTATCACACTCCATTGCACTGATCTAACTAACCATTCTAAGGCCCACAGTGATTTCAAATTAAAATTAGTAATCCCCCTTCCCCACTTCCCAAAAAGGCAGATCATTTTTCCCTGATCTGTTCTTTGTTTGGGTCTCATTTTAGTTAACTTTCCAGAGATTCCAGGATTCTGAAAAGAATCTTTTAATAGCTTCTTCTTATGTACATTTCTAAACAGTTCACTGTAGGTAAGAGGCCTGACGGCCTGCACATGTTGAACTGCCTATCTCTGCCATTGTTATCAATGGGGAAAAAGGTGTCCTATACCTTAGCCCCCAGCTCCTAAGAGGGACTGGCTGGCTCCTAATCACTCTCATTAAAACCACTTTGCTTTGATTTGCAGGTCTGTATATATGTCAGTGTACTAATTTGTGACCTTTGCAGCACTTCCAGCTTTTCTGTAAACTTCTAGGCATAAAAACTAGCACTGATGTCTGTGGTTCTCTGTTTCATTCTGTGCCTTTCGTTACGTAAGTCTTCATAGCAGATTGTCTGTCACTGAAGATATTGCTTGTTTCTCTTCCCAGATGAGTGGGAAAGCAGATTCTACTTCCATCCAGTTTCCGATTTGCCACCTCCAGAGCCATATGTACAAACGACCAAAAGTTATCCCAGCAAACTGGCAAGAAATGAAAGCCGGAGTGAGTATTTCTGCCAAGGTTTTTGAAGATTCATGCTTGAATAGCCTGAGTGACACTCGGGCTGTATAGAAAGTCCAGGCCTCTTGCCTGGAGTGGGGTAGAGAACCTTTTGGAGCCATCTACATTCTAGTAAATTCCCCTTCCACAGGCAGTGAGGAAATTGCAGATGCCCAGAATGCATATGAGAAACAGTTATTTTAATGTGTCATTACAAACTCAAAATACCGTGGTTTGCTAGTATTAAATTTTATTATTTTGCTGCTTTGGACGATCGTCCTCCGTTTTCATCTTCCTGAGACAGTACAAGTAGAGCCATCTTCTATTCCTTCTAGTTTGAAATTGGCATAATGTCTGATCAATTATAACAAAAACTCCCTGTAACTGCCTTGATCTTTCAAACATATGATAATCATAGCTTTACAGAGCATTACATGAAAATGTAAATATATCCAAAATCTCTCTACATAATAGATATTTTCATTTTACCAGATTCTCATCCAGTTTTTTATCCACATAATTCTGATTTTTTATGTAGTTATAATGACAGTGTATAGTTTTGTGGCGGGGTTTACATAACATTGCTTAGTAAATAGTGCCCATGTTATCACATGGTTTTTATTTCAGCATATAGTAATTTACCATTACCATGGACATTTAAATTATTTCTGTTGTTCTGGTAATGTAGGTCATGCTACCATAAGGAAGTAAATTGTTTTTCCTCCATTGAAAAAGGGTGTCAACAAGGGAAAATAGACAAACTGGAATTTTATAACATTAAATGTATAGGAAGTATTATAGCTCTTTCAGAATTTGTCTAGCAGGCTTTCCAGGGTTTTGCTGGAAAGCCTCTTAAATTTACTTTTAAAAAAACACAATAGCCAGGCACGGTGGCTCACGCCTGTAATACCAGCACTTTGGGAGGCTGAGGCAGGCAGATCACGAGGTCAGGAGTTCGAGACCAGCCTGACCAACATGGTGAAACCCCATCTCTACTAAAAATACAAAAATTAGCCAGGCATGGTGGCGTGCACCTGTAATCCCAGCTACTCAGTTGCTGAGGCAGGAGAATCGCTTGAACCCGGGAGGTAGAGGTTGCAGTGAGCTGAGATCGCACCATTGCACTCCAGCCTGGGCGACAGATCAAGACTTCATCTCAAAAAAAAAAACAACAGCAGCAGCAACAATAAATATATACAATAAAGAAAGAATTAGCATGAAATATGCATATGTCACCCATGAGGCTGAGGTTCGTGGCAGCCTTAGCCTCAGAGCCAAATTCCCAAACCAGAAATAGAGAAAACATAACCTAATAAGTCAAATAGGTCACAACACCCCTAGCCATGGCCTCACTCCCTAGCAGAGCTTCTTATACCTACTCAGAGCCTATTGATTGTTTTCTAACACAGTTTAAAGTAATTTTTGGTTGGTTGGTTCCAAACCTTATAGGAGATTAGTAACAGCTAAAGTTAAGACTAGTGAGAAGCAAAATCACTGACATGGGAGAGAAGTGACAGATGGCAGTCCCAGGTCAGAGGAGGAGACAGGAACATGGCTGTGCTGTGTGTTACAGCGCAGGACAACACCAGATGTTTCTGTTGGGTTAAATTTCTATTGGGTTAAATGGGATTAAATTAATTGAGTTAACCTGTGCTTTGTGCCACTGTAGAAAAATTTAAAGAGTTAGAAAATATAGGAAATTTTCCATGGACAAATGCTAGAAGAAAACAGAATGCTACTGCTTAAAAGGAAAACTTTAATTCCTGGAAAAATTTGTTTATGTGGAAGACTGCATTCATAGACAATACCTAATGAAGAGGTATAGCTGTAATAAAATCATTATACAAGAGTTGATGATTGAAATTTTTAGTGAAGACCAGGCACAGTGGCTCACGCCTGTAATCCCAGCACTTTGGGAGGCCAAGGTGGGCGGATCACTTGAGGTCCGGAGTTTGAGACCAGCCTGACCAACGTGGAGAAAACCTATATCTACTAAAAATACAAAATTACCCGGGCATAGTGGCACATGCCTGTAATCCCAGCTACTCAGGAGGCTGAGGCAGGAGAATTCCTTGAACCCAGGAGGCGGAGGTTGCAGTGAGCGGAATTCACACCATTGCACTCCAGCCTGGGCAAGAAGAGCGAAACTGCATCTCAAAAAAAAAAAAAAAAAAAGAAAAGAAAAGAAAAATTTTTAGTGGAAAGCAAGTTTTCACACGGGACAGGTATCTCTGAATGCTCTGTGTGTGTGTGTGTGTGTGTGTACGTGTTCACCAGAAGAAGGGCTTCTGTTTGATAAGAGCACAACCCTTCTTCCTTCTTGGGCACCAATAAACGAATTGACTTTAAGGAGTTGTTCATATAGACTCTAAATATTTTTTCTGACTTACTATTTTCCTCTTATTCTAAATATTATTTGTGTTTTTAAATTGGTAACAGACCATCTTCCCTGTACCCTCTAGATTTTTAATGTAATAGCTAAGCATATTTCTCCTCCCATCCTCCTTTAAGACTCAAGTAGGCAATGTAAGGACTAGAACTATGTCCTGCTCACTGTTGCATCTTCCTTGAGGGGCACAGAGCCTGAAACATAAAGGGCATTCTCAAGTATTTCTTTTTAAAAATGTTCTTATAGAGACAGGATATCTCTGTGTCGCCCAGGCTGGTCTTGAGCTTCTGGCCTCAAGTAGTCCCCTGCCTTAACCTCCCAAAGCACTGGATTATAGGCATGAGCTACCACACCTAGCCTAAAAGTAGTTTTTAAATTGGTGAATTAATTTCCACTGTCTACCAAAATTTTTTTGTACATTTGCCTTAAATATTTCCAACATTAGGCATGTTTAATATTTTATAATGATAATGTATCATCTAACAAAAATAAATAAGGCACTGTCGAGTACCAAGTTTTCCTCTGCTCTGCAGCGACCTCAGCCTCCCAGCCCACAGCCTGAGAGCACACCCAGACAGCCCTGAGCAGTACCGAATGCACTTGGAGTGTACTCTAATTACAGCTTTGGACTAGGCCAGCCCTCATTCTACTAACCACTTGTGGCGGGTCAGTTGATGGTCAGGGCTCCATGATAGGTGTCTGGTTTTCATCCAGATGAGTCTTTTCTCAGATGCCTGCCCAAGAAAATATTTGGTTGGGATGGTGAGAGGAAGAGGCGCCTCTTTCAGTGTTTTCTCCTAACTCCTTTCCTTGCTCAGAAATTTGGTTCTTTCTCAGAAATCCCTAAGTGGACTAGTAAGGTCCCTATCAAGATCCCTACTGAGGAATCTGCCAGTTCCAGCCCACTGAGTGTCAAGAGTAGTGGTTAGAGCAGACCTACCTAATTGACACGTGCACCGGGTAGACCTGTTCACAGCATCTGAACACCTGACCTCATGCCGAACACCTGTTAAATTCTCAACAAATGTTTGTGTAGTAAATGAATTTTTTTTATGTGAATGGGTTTTAAGCCTAGTTACAGTGGACTGATAGCCCATGAATAGCTTGGTTTTTGGTTTCGTTTTGTTTTTGAGACAGGGTCTCACTCTGTCACCCAGGCTGGAGTGCAGCGGCACAATCTTGGCTCATTGCAGCCTCAACCTCCCAGGTTCAAGTGATCCTCCCACCACAGCCTCCTGGGTAGCTGGGACTATGGGAGAGGCACACACCAACCTGCCTGGCTAATTTTTTGGAGACGGGATTTTGCTATGTTGCCCAGGCTGGTCTCGAACTCCTGAGCTCAAACCATCCTCCCTCCTCAGCCTCCCAAAGTGCTGGGGATACAGGTGTGAGCCACCACAACAGGGCCATAAATAACTTTTATAAGAACACATTGATAGAGCACTTGAAAAGATGCTCAACATCACTGATTTTTAGGGAACTGCAAATAAAACTATAGTGAGATACAACTTTACACCCATTAGGATGGCTACTGTCAGAAAAGCTTTCTCATTTTTAATTAGAAGATACCTAAATGTCCAACAAAAGGGAATTGACTAGGTAGACTGTAGTGTACTCATATTTTGGAATACAGTCTGTCATTAATAATCTTTGCAAAGAGTAATGCCTTTGAAAGATGTTCAGACTGATTACATGATTTTATTTCTGGAAGAAAACGGGGAACTGTTCCTAAATAAAAAATATACACGTAATTGGTTATCTCTGGGTGCTGGAGGAATGGGTGAGTTCTTTGTTTTTACTCATCCATATTTTCTAAATCTATAATAAACACACACTGTGATAAGAAGAAAATGATTTTTTTTAACTTTGTACAAGTACTTGGGAACCAGTGATGGATTATCCACCATGATGTTTATTCAGAACATTACTTGCTGCTTTTCACCTCTCACTTCTCATCCACAACATATGCCAGTTAGCTGACAGTCCTGGTCATAGGGATGAGGTAGTGGGTACCCATGCAGCCATCCCCGAGTTTCCACAATGAGAACATCAGCTTTCTAACCAAAATTATATTTTGTCTGTTTTTTCACCAAGGTGGATCCAACCGAAGAGAAAGGGGTGCCCCACCACTCCCTCCCATCCCGAGGTGATCTTTGCCTGCTCTTCTCTACCCAAGCTCAAGAGCTGCTTCTGTTGCTATCTAAGAACTGCACACCCTCCTCCCTGCTTCTTCCCTTGTGCCCCATGTATGGGCAGGAGGAAAGATGGGAGGGTGAGTGGGAGTATGCGTGTGTGTGTGGGCATCGGTAAGAAATGCACCTAGCTTTTCATATTGTTTATTCTCCAGGCTATTGCTTGCTTCAGCTGCAGCCGGGGTCGATAGGCTTCTGTGGTAATAGGCAGAGATGAATTGCATCCCAGCTTTCCACCAACCAAATCCAAACATTCACTGCTTATTTGCCACAGACTGTAATTATTAAAGTCCCTGAGAGCTGTTTTCTCCCGTTCCTTTTTCGCATGCTTGGCCTTCTGTCTGTTTCCATGAACCACAGACCACCTAAGCAAGCTGCTGAGTAAGGGCTCACAGGAAACTTTTGCAGTCACAGGATGTCCAATCTTTGGCAGTCCGAGCTCAGCTCCAGGACAGAGCTGTCCAATAGAAATATAATGTGAGCCCCATATACAACTTCAACATTTCTAGTATATTTTCAACAAGTGAAGTTAATATGCATCCAAAGTATTTCACCCTGTAATCAACATAAACTTTTAATGAGATATTTTATATTATTTTTTGGTACCGAATCTTCAGAATCCAGAGTGTATTTTACATTTACTGGTAGCACATCTCCATTTGGACTAGTCACATTTTTAAGTGCTCAGTGGCCACATGTGGCTGGTGGCTACTGGATTAGACAGCACAAGTCTGGAAGATGGAAGCTAGTACAGAAACCTCGTTTAAAAAACAAAAAAGGCAAGATGGGCTTGAACGGTTCAAGAGGCAACTAAAAATAAAATTAGGACCCAGTACCTTGTTTGACACGCAGTTTGACCTTCGATTTTGCTCCCTTATCTTCCCTCTTCCCTTAGTATCTGTATACAAGTGTTGCTCCAAAGTACCAAGGTCAGAAATTAATTGAGTACGGTTTACTAAAGTCATGTGGAATAAAGCCACTGGAAAGAAACGGAGAGCCTGTCGGGACTTCCGGGCTCAGAACCAGCTGGCGCACGCCCTCACTTGTCAGTTGGACTTCTGCCTTGTGAAATGGAAGCAGCCTTTGTTCCTCTCTGGCTGAGCAAGCTCCTGAGGCTGAGAGAGACTAGGAAGGCTTGGTAGGAGGGAAGAAAGTCAGGGAAAGGTGTCAAATCAGAAACATGGAAGAAGAAGGGAACAGATTTGAGTTGGTGGGTAAAACTCTAAAAATCTGAATCTGATTCTTATGTAAGGGTTGAGCAAATTAGGGAGATTGCTAGTGGAAATTGGAGGGAATTTGTTTTGCATCATTTGTCTAGGATCTATGCAAATACAGCTCCACTAAAGGACCATAGGGAAGAGCCAGCCTTGCCTTTTCTTACATGATTTTGTTTACAAAATTTTACTGGGACTTTTAAATCTAGCTATAGAGTTGGGAAAAAATATTTCCACTTAGATATTTTATATGGTTTTGTTTAAAATGACCATTACTTGTTTTTTAAAAACACATGACCACATATGTATATGTATATCTACCTAAACATTGTATCATGGTTTCAGTATGTTATTAATGTATTACTGGGAGATGCTAACAAGAACCCAACCCAAAGAAAATTCTGAAAAATACATTTCTATTTATAGAATAAATGTTTCATTTATATAAAAGCAAAAGAACTTAGAGTTCTAATAAATGGGATGTCTAATAAATTATGAAGTTACTGATTTGAATATATTATATTTTTATAACTTCCTTGCCAAAGTCCTGATGTAGTACATTAGAGAACCTGTGTTTCCTCTCTCATCGACCATTCATCTGTCTTCCATACAGTCATTTGGGCTTTTTACTCAAAGAGAATCAAGAAATAATAAGGTGTAACGAGCTTGGCAAAGTGTTGGTTTTTTAAAAAAATTTGTTAATCTCTAGCAGTTTGGTAATTTAGCAGCATCATTTATTTGGGATTCTTTTATCTGATTTCAACAGTGAAAAGCATCCCTGTGATAAAGCCTAATGACCCATTTCACAAAAGATGGAGTTTGCCCTTTCTAGAAAATATGACAGACAGAGAAAAGTCTGACTCAGAGAAAGTGGGTCTGAATTTTATAAGGGGTAGTAACAATTGGACAATTCCTTTGCATATCTGAACTTGGCAGGTACCATTCTAAATTTGAAACAGGGTCATAGCTCAAAGTTGCCATTCATCCAGAATAGAGATCTTTTAGAATGTAGTGTTTTAAGTGAGTGTTTCATTAATACACCTACACCCTTTCTTTGAAAGTTTGCAACCTAATTGCATCTAAAACTTTGAATAAGTTCTGTGGTAAAATCTTAAACTATGGAAAATTACAAAAATGGATATTTTCTTCCCTGAAATCAGAGCTTACATGTGTGTTTTTTTCATAAAATTTTCAGATAAATGTATTCAACATGTAATACAGTATTTTAACATTCACCTCTTATTTTATATTGAAATGTATTACAGTATTAAAACTCACTGTTCAGTATTTATTTCACTATGCATATTATTTAGTAAAAGCCAGGAGAAATGTTTAATCCAATGGTGCCTTACTTTGTGATTTAAAAGAAGTCAACTTTTTTTATGTCTAAGTAGCAGATTATTTGCATATTTGTAAAAACTGTTAGGTCTTTATATTTTAAATTGTAATACCAGTTTTGTTATTTTTAGTAGCAGAAATGGGATGATTGTTAAAGTTCCCAAAAAATATTGGCGTGAAATTAATTTTTTCCTCCTTCTAGTCAAGGACCGTAGAGGAAGAAAAACATTTTTTTCATACCATGCACTATGTAAACAGACACATTTTGGTATCTGTGTCATCAGGATAGTGTAAATGGTAGGGTAGAGACTCCCCTAGACATCTGCATCTTTGTAAGTTAGCCAGACAATAAAGAAAAGCAGAATGATATGGTGTCAACTGGTGGTTTTTCTTTTAAGTATTGTTTATGTAAATATAAACAAAAAAGAAGTGTCTGTTTTCCGTTTTAAACTGTGGAAAAGAAAGACAAAAAAAGGTTTGTATAAGTAAGTATTCATTGCACCTACTTGCAATCCAATCTTCGTTTTTTCTGAGAATCTGCATCTTAGTCAAAATCTGTTTACTTGAGGCAGATGTTTCTACGAGGAGGTAAAGATGGATGGCTGAAGCAATGGATGATGAAATGACAAACACTGGCATGGATACTGATAAATACAGGAAAGGCCAATGGGAATTTAGGAGCCTGATAACTTTCTTAATTATCTGCTGTATGTGTATATACAGATCTCAATATAGAAGAATGGCTAAGAGCTTAAGACCTGGCTCTTACTTGCAAGTCACTTCACTAAACCTGTTTCCTTATCTATAAGGTGAGGAACTGTTATAGCATTAATATATGCATTAAATGAGATAATGCACTCAGCATTTAGCCTTAGTGTAAGCACTCAATAAGGAGTAGCCACTATTAGTGTGAAGTCGGAAACAAATATTTATATAATGATCCCAAATTAACTGAAGCCAAATCCACTAGAAGGGGATATACTAGTGTACTTTGAAAGGAAAGGAGCACTAGCTCCTAGATTGAAAAAATATCCATATCAGAAATGCAAAGCAACCTCTACATAAGTAAGGGCCACCTCACCTAATGTCCTCCCTGTACCTCCAGGCCTGGAAAATGAAATTTTATCGTGCTTCAGTCATCAAAGAAACATTATTGGGTTCAGTATGAAATAACAGAAAGTAAGGGCCAGAAAGAACCTCAAAGATAGGGCGACCTTAGAATTTATGATCCACAGTGGAACATGTTTGAGAGTGGAAGCGGTGCTAATAGTTGCAGTGGCAAAACAGGTATAAGTCTGGGTTGCCTTGGAAAATTGGGCCATGTGGTCACCCCACTCAGAGGTCATCCAGTCCAACCGTCTGGGCTCACAGATGGGCAATTTAAGGCCCTAAATGATGTACTGATGACGGACAATGTGACTTCTCACTGTACTGTCCCATCTTCATAGTCCTTCCTGCCTCTCTGTCACTGTTTCATGTGTCTTTCGCATTGGCTGGAAAGAAAAGGCCAAATGAGAGGTTACAGCGTCACAGCAAAAGCCTTGCACCCACAAACCTGCGTTTGGATTCTGGCTCTGCCACTTGCTCCCTGTGAGGCCATAGACAAGTTATTTAAGTCTGAGTTCTAGCTTCCTTGATTGCAAAATGGTTACAAAGCTTAAATATTACACATCCAGAAGCTTTGTAGGTGGTTTATTGAAAAATAAATAAATAAATTTTAAAATAAATAAGTAAATATGCAAAACTCAAGCAAGATACCTGGCACATGTTAGGCACTCAATGAAAATTAACTCCATTTCATTTCTTAATCATTTTGCCATCAAACCTCGGCCGTATTCATGACGGAATTCTCAAACACAGTCAAAGAAGTCTTGAAAAAATTCAGTTACAGAATCTTTAGGAATAAAAACCGCTTTAAGTCTGGCCTCATTTGTTCAAAGTGGAAGTATTTATTTGATTCATCCATTTGGTAAGTTTTTATTGAGCCCTTACTGTTTACCAGCTTCACCATAAATGACCTATTAATAACTGGTATCCCCACCATGACTGTAGCGGTCAAGCGATCTCTGAGTGGCAGTTAAGGAGGCCAGCTCCCATTCCAAACAGGCATGGGGGCAACTTTAGTCACCCAAGCCACAGAGGGCTTGCATACTAGTGGAGAAGACACATTAAAATAGTTCTTGCCCCCTAAAGTAATTCATTTGCTTTCTTTTTTTCTAATCTCAATGTCACAGTAAATTCCACTAGTTTTTAAAAAATTGTTAAACCTACAGGAACCTTGAAAAAAACAGTATTTGGAAGGATTTTTGATGACCAATAAGTTACATCTTTTGGGTTTTGATTAATTTGGAAGGTAAATTCAAGGATTCCGAGTTCTCTAAACATTCCAACTAATTGAAGGCTCCCTGGGTACCTAATAGTCACCAGTTCCCTTCTCCCTTGTCTTCCCCCAGCCTCACTTCCCTCCAGCCTGAAAACTTGGTATTTAATGTCTATGTCTGGAGTTACATTTAGCATGTACGTGTTTCTCTTACTGGTAAATGTTTAGAAATGTCCCACTCATCAACATTATAGCACAAATACCTTTGTCTTAAAATGTTGCTTCCATTACTACATAGGTGCATTTATAAGAAGTTAATTAAGCTCGAGCTTTGGGATCCCCCACTTGCAAGGGGGGGGTTCCTAACTATTTATTATTATTTTTATTTTAAAGGGTCTCATTCTGTCACCCAGGCTGGAGTGCAGTGGCATGATCATAGCTCACTGCAGCCTCAGATTCCTAAGTTCAAGCAATCCTCCTGCCTCAGCCTCCTGAGTCACTCAGACTGACTAGGTGCACAACCATGCCTGGCTAATTTTTTAATTTTTTTTTTTGTAAAGAGGGATGGTCTCGCCATATTGCCCAGGCTAGTCGCAAATTCCTGGCCTCAAGCGAGTCTCCCACCTCAGCCTCCTAAAGTGCAAGGATTACAGGTGTGAGAGACTGTGCCTGGCTGGGGCTTCAAGTTAAATTCTCATTTTCATATCTAGTGTTTTATTTGTGATTTTATATTATTTTTCTTAAATAGGGCATCTTATATTGTCTAAAGCTTCAGACCTCACAAAACCTGGACCTGCCCTTGCAATTCTGCCTTGCTCAACTTCTGGTGGAGAACTCAACCAAAGTGAATGTCTTAATAACTTTAAGCCACCAGCTTCCCGTGAGTGACAGGTATAAGAGAACCAAAGTGTTTGCCTCCTTCATACTCCCTGAGTGACCTGTCAATGTCTCTGAAGTAACGTGGTCATTGCATTGCCCACATTGCATTAGAGTCAAAAGCCCCAGAACATGACCTATCTAAGAAAATACCTTTGACCTTTAAGGTCCCTGGAAAACAAGTCCAGCTGTTATTAGATGTTGAGCTCAAATTCAGCTTAAGTTTTGGCCAGGAAGATGCCTGCCAGAACACCTGGAATATCCATCATGGACTTAATACGTTTTAGTCATAGGGACTCCCACCGTTTTCCTGTTTTCTGTCTGCTTTGGTAAGTTAAAGTTCACCCATCAAAATGCTATCTATCTCAGATCAGTTCCAGAAACAAAGAGCAGCAAATAATTGGAAAAACCCACATGATTTAATGGAGCTGTTGTACTCCTGCTATTTATTTGTACATTTACTTATTCAAATCATCAACAAAAGTTGAGGAACTATAATTTATTAAGCAGTAGGAATATAAAGACGTACATGATATAATAGGAAGTTTTTAAATACTAGTCCCAGAACCAAGTGTGAGTTTAAATTCTAGATCTAACAAAAACTTCAGCCAGTAGGTACAACCCAACCCCATCCTACAACTGGTTCTGGAATGCATCTCATCACAGACATAGGGCTGTTTGGTTGGCTGTGAGCATGCAAGGAAAATTCCCACTCATGCTTGCTCCTTTGAGATTTACTCTTGGAGCAAAAGCATGGACAGTCCCAAAGGAGGCCACCATGGGAAAATGAAAAAACATCGAACACAGTAATGAACAGTAATTTTATACCATCAAGACACACTACCATGGTCAGGCACAGTGGCTCACACCCGTATTCCCAAGACTTTGGGAGGCTGAGGTAGGAGGATTGCTTGAGTCCAGGAATTCAAGACCAGCCTGGACAACATAGCAAGACCCTGTCTCAAATAAATTTTAAAAATTAGCCGGGCATGGTGGCATATGCCTATACTCCTAGCTACTCAGGAGGCTGGGGCAGGAGGATCACTTGAGCCTAGGAGTTTAAGGTTGCAATGACCTATGATCCTTCCACTGCACTCCAGCCTGAGTGCCACAGACCCCATCTCTTAAAACAATAAAAAAATTTTAAAAGGAAGACACTCTGCTTAATTTATGTATCTAAATAACAACACAAATATTGTCTTTCTTTTTCATATAACCACCACCAATACTACAATTTGATCTAGGCTCTTTACAAATATTGCCAATCTTTGTATCGTTACACATAGAGAAATCAAAGCCTGAGTGGATTCGAAATTTGCCTCAAGCCACTTGCCTTAAGTGGATGAGAATTCAAACTCAAAGCTGCCTGATCAAATTTGAATAAGGAGTAATATCATTGTTAACTTTTCATTTGTCAGTTTAAAAAAACACCGCTATTTCCTATCAGTAAGAACTTTTAATGAGCCAAGACAATGGAAGACCTCATTTGAGAATGAGATAGTTGGCTCAACTGAATAAACCCAGCTTCCTGGAAAGCTCCTCCATTGTTCTCACTTTCCTCATTGGACTGTGGACTGGCTCTGCATTTACCACCTGGGGCACATTGCTTCTCGGATGTGATCCAACTTCTTTTGGTTCTTTGCAGTTTAGGGGGTGGTTATAATCCCTGCCTTGAAGTTTTAAAAAGGATATTATATAAATTTGCTTTTCAGCTCATCAGATACCTGCTACCTTTTAAGGTGATCTCAGAGAAGCCAATAAAGTTCAGATGTCATTTCATTAAGCAGTTACAGGTTACAGGAAATCCCCATGTCAGAATCAAACTGCAGTGTGCCTAGTTAATTTGCTTTCCTATGAATCTCCCTTCCTTTGTACTGTTCATTATTTATATTTCTACTGTTCCTATCATAAATTTTTAGTATTAAATTTCTTTTTCACTCTCCTTGGAGTTGGAAAATCCATGTGGCTCTTTTAAATACCAAATAATAGGATTTGCTTTTCGGTAATAGCCAGAAGTAAACCTTGTGTTCTTTGCCTCCTCATACTACCTAACACTCCGTGGAGCAAAAAGACAGTCATATTCAACACAACTGAAAAGAGTGGCTCTACAGTTTTCAGGCATTTTTACATACCTTATGTCATTGTACCCCACAGCAGCCCTCGGAGGAAGG